TTTTTTTTTTAATCAAGCCATTTCAAACAATTTTTACGAACAGTTTATTTTAATTAATTAGCTATTGTGGCAGTTTTCATGAACACTTATTTGAATTAATTATAATTTATTAGAAATGTCCTTTTCACTTCCTCAGATTTATTTTTAATATATTGCATTCATATTTTCACTATGTTCTAGTTTGTTTTAATTAAAATTTGCATAATAGCTTATTTAGGTATGTAGAAATGAGTTAGACATAGCATAATTAGCATATATGTAAGTATGTATATTGGCATGTAAAGTTTTGTTTAATAATATAGTATGAATGTTGTATTATTTGAAATTAAATGCATAATTTTTAATTAATTTAATACTTAAAAGATTAGAAATTAACCATTTTAATTGCAGTTATTTATTAACAATTACAATTAAACTATCATTTACAAATATTAATATTTTTTGTTTAAAAAATGAAAAAAAAAGGAGAAAAAAACTCTTTGCAGCAAAAAAAAAGACAATTCCTTTCTTTTTTTGAATAATTATTTTATTTTGAATTTAATTTTTAATTATCAAATAGTATTATCTACTCATACTGAATGACATTTATGCATAGACAAAATAATGAAATGACAATGAATTGTTATTCATTTTCCTTTTCCTCTTTTTTCTTCCCTCTCTATTTTTTTTTTTTTTTTTCGATGTACTTTAAAATAAATTGTCATTTTTCGTTTCGATGACATTGAGAAGGTTCTTTTTTTTTAAAGTTTACTTAAATTTTTTTTTTTTGCATATTAATCACTATCATCTCTTTGTTGGCTTTAATTTTTCTTTTTCTTTTTTTTTAATTTAATATTTATTTTACAATTAATTATTAGTTTTAATATTTAACGCCTTAATGTTTATTTGCAAAATTCATAACATTCATAGAATATTTTCCATTTTATATCAAATTTATAATTTGTTTATTTTTATTTTCTTTTTATTATTGTATTTTGTTTTTTTTCTTAGTTTTATTTTAGTTTATGTGTTATTTTACTATTCGAGAAAATTCGATCATCCTTTTCTCTTTTTTTTTTTTTTTTTTATTTCTTATGTTTCATTCATTCCTGTCTGTTGTTGAAATATTACATTTTCAAATGATTCATTCAATATTTTGATAATAAGGAATTTTCTTTTTTTTTTTTTTGTTTTACTTCTTGTCTTATCTTTTCGCTTTCATATCTTAGCATCTTAGGCTTATAAGCGGATTGTCATATCGTCTCATTTCATATCTTGGCATGCTAGGCTTTTAAGAGAAGAATTGCTTAATTTAATTTGCATTGTATAAATTCCTAGCAATTATGAATATATACTATGAAAGCTTTTATAAGGATGCAATAGTTGTGATTGATAGTTTAAAGTAACACATTCATACAATTATTATTTTGAAATGTTTAAGATTAATCTAAGAATTGTTTGAAAATAGAAACTATTATTATTGTTTTTATTATGGTGTAATTTTTTTTTTTTTGCAAGAATTAATAACTAAAATACTGAAATTATATTAGGTTATTACAGGATGATATATTGTTGAATTTTGTGAAATTTGAAACTAGAAATGATTATAGTAATTCGAGAAGAAATAATATTTCAATTTTTTTAAAAAATACAAAATTATATTAATCAATTTTATCTATGCATTTATTGTCCTATCTATTGATTTATATGTAAAATAAACTGATATCAATTTTTTTTTTTTAAATAGAAGATAATCCTTTTAAGTATTTCTATTGGAAAATTTTTATCAATAATAAAATAATTTGGAATTTATCATTTCTCTTATCATTTTTTTTTTTTACAAATCAAACTGATACTATCCTAATAATTTCTTAAATTAAACTAACTTTCAACTTAAAATTGTACTATCTAAAAATAATCAAATCAATTCCTTAAAATAAACTAATACTATCAAAATAATTCTCCAATCATTTAGATCATTGATTATTCTTTTTTTTTTTTACCAGTAAATTATCATTTGTTATCAAATTTAATCAATGATTCTAATCTGATTAAAAGACAATCTTTCATGATAATCTTCAAGAATGAAAATTGATCCCACCCATTTAGTGGGTATGTATCAATTAACAAATGGTTACGTTACCCCTTTATATTGATTAGCTCCACCCCATTATTGCTTTTAACAAAAAAGCACAATTTGATAGATTGATAGATGGTGAAGATGCACCTTTAATGCTAACTTGTCATTATTCATCCTATACAATGAATCTTATGTTAGGTTATTGATTAATTGAATTTTTTATTCATATTTAGTATACGGTATTGAATTATTATCTAATTAATTAAGTACAAATTAATTTTAATGAGTAGTTTTTTTGTATTCAATATCATTTGCTATCCAATAATATTTTATTCATATTTAGTATACGGTGTTGAATTATTGTCTAATTAATTAAGTACAAATTAATTTTAAAAATTTAGTTCATCCTTTGTTGTGTGAGTAATTCTTTTTTGCATTCATTATCATTATTTTTGCATTCATCATTTATTATTCATTATTTTTTGCATTCATCATTTATTATCCAATAATATTAATTATTATAGTTGTCAAAATGATATTTAAATTATCATTGTATACTTAGAATAATAATATTATCATTTAGTGAATTATTAAATATAATTGCGTTTTTTATTCTTAAAATCGTTATTACTTCTACTTAATGCTACCAATTAATTAATACCTTTGTCATTTTAATTAAAAAACTTTCATGAATGTGGTTAGTGTTGAAACAATTAATATCATTTAAATCATTTGATTAATTATTCATTTAAATTAAATTATTTCTATCATTTATAAAGCAAATCAATATAGCCGTATTGATAATTAATTAAGTTATTAATTGCATCTAATTTACAATATTGCTATCTGTTTATTCGTTAAATTTATTCAATTGATGTATTTTTTGATAGCAAATTAATACAATAATTTTCAAAAAAAAGTTTTTTTTTCAATAAAAAGATTTGTATTTTAAATTTGAAAATAAAAAAAGAAATTTTTAGGATTTTGATAAAAACTGTAAATTATTTATGGCATTTAAAATTTTTATAATTTTATTCACAAAAATTTTACACCTATCGTGCTATTTATCATTTTTACACTTATATTAACAATTTAATCTTTGAATGATAACGAAATTATCGTTAATTGTTGAACTTTGATATTTTATCCCTTCCGGTAAACAGTTGCTATTGCTGAAATGAACCATTTTCTCAATTTTCAAAATATTTCTTTTAACCCATAAATCCTTTGATCTAATCTTTTTCCTTTCTCAACTTTATCATCTTCTCTTCATCTTCTTCCTCCTCCTCCTTCCTCCTCCTCCCCCTCTTCCTCCTCCTTTTCTTTTTCTTTCCTCCTCCCATTTAGCAATTATCAAATGCAAAATTCCTTTTAATTAATGTAAATTTTTGTTAAGAAATGTAAAAAAATATTTAAAGTTTACGATATATTACATCATTAAATTTAAACCTTTTTTTTCCCCAACGACTTGTTTAATTTTAATTTAAGCGATGAAATTTTCAATTGTTTCTTTCATTTCCTTTATAACAAACATTATTTTCTAAGTTAGTTTAATAAAAATCTGAGGAAAAAGTTTCGAAACATTTGGTGTTTAGATTTCAATTTCATTTTTTCATCAAATTTGTTTTCGTTTTTTTAATTATACCTTAATATGAATCTTTCATTTCTTTTTGCTCAAACTTTTACATGAAGTAAATTTGAATAATGATTAATCCAATGATTAAATAATGATTAAATTAAATTCGAATTATGGTTAATTTATTGGCGGTCATTTTTATTCAATTACTAATTAAAAAAATTATTCAAGTTTTAACTTGGCAAATTTTAAAATTAAAAAAAAGTGTCGTTTAAATTTCCAATATAAAACTTTTTTTTTGCGTGTAAATTGAAAATATTAACCATAGAAATTAGCTAATTTTTATTTACAGGTGAACTTTGGGTGATTCCATCGGTTTGAATAAAAAAAAAAGGAAAAAAAAAGATTGCCGCCAGATGCTGCCATATTTAAAAGTGACCTGTGAATTATTCATGGAAAATTTATAAAAAAAACATGCTATTAAATGAATTCGATTAATTAGCTGAAAAGTTGTCAAACAGTGTTTGATTTTTCAAAATTTTTGAAATTTCAACATTTTCCAATACTTCCTCAATTTCTGTAATTCACCTATTTATTATTATTATTATTAATTATCTATAAAGTGAAATTCTTTAATTTTTAACAAAAATATTATTCATTCATTATCATTGCTGATAAATTATCAAAATTACTGATAAGTTATCAGAAATTGTTTGATAAAATTATAAAAGATTTGCATGCATCTGCAGCTGCATATTATATGCTATCATTCAATGCGACACTATTCATTTTCAATGATTATTTATTTTTTACTATTCATCCTTATTATTGCTCATTTTCAACAAATTCATTCATTGCGTTGCAAATGCAATGCAAATCGTGGACCATCACATTGCACTGGTGATTTTTGCGATATACATAATCGTAATGGTAAACGTGCAGCATGCGGTGCATTACGACGTGCACATCAAACTATTTTTGCATGCGTATTAATTCGTCAAACATCCAATGATACATATTGCCATGTAATTGGTAGTACAACAGCATGTTGGTGTCGACAAATGGATTTTTGTAATGCTGATTTAGAAGCTGAATTATTTGATGTTGATGAATCAATGGATAATTCAAAAGATGATTCAGATGAAGAAGTATCATCAGTAACAAATTTTATCACTAATTCTCAAGATGAAAAATTCATCATT